ATTGGTGAAAACTATAATACTAGGAATCTTAATGTGTACCATCAAACAGTAAGTACCACAAATCCATATTCATGTAGTTTGTCAGATAATTATAATCAAAGTAGGGCCTGTTATAGGTATTTATCAGTACAGTTAGCTACAACGGATTAGTATAACCAGATAAAAATAACATGATGAATTATAAGAGTGATTGAAATAATGTAGTAGCAAAGATAATGCGGAAGACTAAATATTTATGTATTTCAAAAAGACGGAGTGGAAAAATCTATATGAGGAAATTCTGAAATACTAGATTGAGAAGATAAACATTAAACGGATCTATGCCATTTTATCTAATATCTCCTAGTAGTGATTAAGCTTATTACTCGAACGCCAACTAGGTTGTTTGAATCTATCAACACTGTTCAAACACATAGTCAGTGACTTCATGAAGCTGTGGAATGTCTTGATTCGGACTCTCCTAGGCTTTGTTTAACTCAGTTCTATACCGGCAAACATCACTTGTCACGATAGTGTTATTAGGCTTAAATAACAAGCGTCATAAACACAGTCGACTACGACTCACAGCCGCATCAACCGACTTGACACCATCAAGTATACCATTTCTAACCTCAACATTGTACACTCTGTCGTTCCATGAAAAATAAGTAATATTTCGAATTTCACCATTATTAGGAACTTGCAGTTTAAGCATTTCATCTGCTTTCAAAGTCTAAGTTTCGCATCCACAAAGTAATAGAGAACAAATTGCTGTCAAGTATACATCTAGTTTGGTTGGCAGACAAAAATCTCACCTACACAACAAGTGATGGAAGTTGTGGAAGATCTACTAAATTTTCTGAACTAGTCCCCTGACTTAATTAAGCCCTAACAGATGGATTATAATCTAATCCTCACGAAGCTATTGAATCATTTTCAAGAGGGCAGTGATTTGTGCTCAAAAGATCTCTCTTACCCTAGAATAGTTGTAAATCCACACAATAATTTCGATTCGTTAATAAATAACACTTCATGATATTCAAATTTCATTAAATATCAAAGATTACATCACAGATTTAGCACAGGGGCAACGCCATAGTTTTGAACTTTGCTCAAGATTCCCTGTCTGTTTATGATATTCCAAAGCTCTAGAAACTCAATTTTTAACAGAAAACGGACGTCCTAAAATGTCTAAACTTATGCATTATCTTATGTCATGTAAACCCCTGATGAAGACTGGATTCAGCAGTATTACTTAGGTAATAATCAGAACAGAATATACTGTAGGAATAGTGAACAAACGCTTAATAACCATCAACCAGAAAATTACAATTAAATTCGCGAAAAGCTTATATCTTCTTAGTATGGACGATTACTATACATAAGTGTATTTTTATTTTTGGTATAAAAGGATTTGTAGAGATAGTTTAATTATCACAAATAAATCACAAACCTATCTTAGCTAGACCAATATCGAAAATCTGTAAGCACTGCACATTTACAACCTCGTGACTAAGAGTAGAACCCAGGACGGTCGGTCCCATGCACAAACGATTAAACTCTAGACCATTGAGTTGGCATCCCATTGTGTCAATGTCTAGCCTCAATCAATTCACGATATTGCTGAACCTTTTTTATTGTCTAAGGTGAATAATTGCCTCTCACTAGACATAGTTGAACTCCACTGCTTGCGACTTCTTACTAGAACTCTACTCGTCGGATTTTGAAGTTAGTCACTAATTAGCACATGATTATTGTTAGTACAGTAGGATCTATCCAATAACTATTTAAAACGATTAGTAATAAATATTTCTCTTCAAGTTAAGTTATTAATATTTCATTTTATTAGTAAGAAATTCATTCAGTGCAAAATCAAACTAAACCAACAAATAACAATGAATATAACCATGATTTCCAAATTAATAAAAATAATAGGAACCAAATTATTATTGTTACATAACGTTAAGGACAAAGAGTCATTTTCTTTTCAAGTGCATCAACACAATTTTTTCTCAAAATTTACATACACACGTACTTATCAAAAGAGTGTAGTTATTTAATATTAGTTTCTAAGTAAAGTGAGATATTGTTTTTATAAAAGAGAAATAAATGAAAGAGAACTAAGAATAAGAAACCTTATGACTATTAATAAGAAACTAACAACTACTACGACTATTACTGATATTATCAGTATAATAATCCTATTTATATATATAATTACATATTTAATCATGCTGTTAATAAAACTACATTTATGAATGAACTTAAAGAGGATAGTTAAAAAAGTAATTGTAAAATGTACTTTTAATCTATCATTCTAACTAACAATTTAAAATGGTTTCATAAGTTATTCTGTACGAAATAATCATAAGGACAGAATAATTATTTTTTTTTGGTTTGATGAAGTGTATCACATTTTGTTGTCATTATTCAGAGTTAAACTGTGAAAAATGATGGAAGAGAGGAAATCAAGGAAACCAACATCAAGGGTTATTATTTGTTTACATATAGAATATAAACATTTGTCTTTTGTTATTTAATTTTGAGTTAATTGTTTTAGCTAAGAATAGTTGTATTGACTATCAAACTGTAACTCTTAAATGATAATGATGAAGGAGAAGATAATCAAGTCTCATATAATGGATCAACAAAGAGTTTCAATGTGAATGCAAGAGGAATAAACTCTAAGCATATCTTAAAATTACACATTTTTTTATAAAACATTTAAAAGTAATATGAACACATACAAATCTCCTGATTAGTTGTATTTGACTTAATATTAACTATTATGTTTTTTCACAGTTGAAATCATGAGTCAATTGAAGCTAGACCACCATCGAAAACCTGGAAGCACTGGACGGCCGTTTCGTCCTATTATGGAACTCCTCAGCAGTGCGCACAAAATACTCATATGCTCAATAGTGACTGACTCCTTCAGGTATTTCCTGGAGTTCTAGTGAGAAGCAGTAACCGGTGGAGTTCAACCAGGTCTGTTGTGAGATAGGAACTCACTGATGACATTGGTGAATGGTTGCTCAATTTCGTGAATCAGTTGAAGTTAGACATTAACACCGTTGGATGCCAGCTCAGTGGTCTATCGGTTAAGGGCTTCGGCTCGAAACCGGTAGGTCCTGGGTTCGAATCCCGCGAGAGTGGTTTCGTGGATGCGCACTGCTGAGGAGTCCCATAATAGGACGAAACGGCCGTCCAGTGCTTTCGGGTTTTCCATGGTGGTCTAGCTTCAATTGACTGATGATCTCAACTCTATATATTATGTTTTTAGTTTGATGGTTATGAAGATTGTTGGATTTCATTTAAATTGTAAACTAATCTAAGTTAGACCACTATTGAAAACATGGAAACACTAGACGACCGTTTCATCTTAGTATGGGATTTCTCATTAGTGCAAAACCATGATCTGGCATACGTGACTTCAACTCAGCACCTTCGATATCGCACGCAAACCCTCAACCCCTAGACTGCTGAGTTGGAATCCGATTGTAGTAATGTTTGAACATAATCAATCCACGATATCGTGTGACCGGGGAAGCTAATCTGTTTCAAGTGTGAGGCGGTTATTCACCAAAAGGCAATGGAAGATGATCGCACAACGTCGTGGATTAATTTAAGTTAAACATTAGCACTGTTGGATGCAAGTCCATTGGACTAGAGGTCAAGTATTTGCGCAGGAAACGTAGGGTGATGCATTGGAGTACAGCATGAAGGATCGTGGCTGCGTGCTGCTGAGCAGATATATACTAGAACGGAACGGCCATTTAGTGTTTTCAGGTTTTAAATTGTAATCAATTCATAATTTCAATGATATGTTTTTAGCTAATTTTTAATAAAACAGATTCACAAGGGGGTTTTGTGGAGATTTTAGTAATTTTATATAGTTAAGATCATGAGTCAGTTGAAGCTAGACCATCATGGAAAACCTGGAAGCAGTGGACGGCCGTTTCGTCCTATAATGGGACTCCTCAGAATTAAGGTTAGACATTAACACCGTTGGATGCCGGTTCAGTGGTCTATCGGTTAAAGGCTCTGGCCCGAGATCTCGCGAGAGCGGGATCGCGGGTGCGCACTGCTGAGGAGTCCCATAATAGGACGAAACGACCGTCCAATGCTTCCAGGTTTTCGATGGTGGTCTAGCTTCAACTGACTCATGATCTTAACTATGTAAAACAGATTCACTTTATGTCCTGCACAAAATACTTAAGTGAGAGATTTTCTGAATACTAACTTAAAACGAAGATTGTAATTTTCACGAAAGCTTTTATTAATTGATATCATTTAAACGGACTGGAATTACTCTCAGTTTAAGATTCTGGTTAGTTTACAGTTTCTACACTATATAATCATCTAAACAATAATATTGTTTACTGCTGACAAACCTGTATCAAATGAGATGGTTTAAGAAAACATAACTCATCTCTAAATTACACTGACCTTGAAAACAGAATAGAATCAAAAATATGTATGCAGTTAAAAAAAACGAAGAACCACTGCTGAAAAAATTGCTTTGATTTTAAATTAATTTATCGCCTGTTTGGACTAAGTGTTGAAGTCAGAATTCATTTTTCAGGGTATCTTAAACATCAAAGTTTACTCTTCCTAACCCGACTAGCCATTTTTTAAAATACATTTCATTTGAATTAAAATCAATTGCCTAATTTTATGACGTATAGTATTGACTAATTTAGTTTTATTAGATCCCGTCTTTGAGTAACTGATATTTTCCCAATATAAGCTCGTTCAACTGTAACCATTTTGATGGCTTACAATATTCTTTTCAGAGTGACTCAGCTACTGGTGAAATTTGTGTTGATAGTATATCTCAAACATTATGATTTCAAATAAATTTCGTAATTCAGAAAATAGGAGAGCGTCGTTTTTTGAAAAAATAACAGGAATTTGATGAAATCAGCTTCACTAGGTTATGGTAGCTAAAAAATTTCAGTAAATTTGATCATAAATGTAATTTTTATTATTCAAAGAAAAGAAATAAATAGTTTACTTACTTTTAATTGCTTCCGTAACACTTGGTTCAAGGCGCTGTTTATATATACCTTCACCAGATAATGATGAAGCAGCCAATTCATCTTGTGTAAAAAAACTTTTCATTAGTAATCTGATTAATCTTGTAGCACTTCCAGATGATTTTACAATTAAACTATAAAATATATCTTTGGATAATTTCACATTTGGATGAGCTTCAGATAGTAATATTTGACTCTATATAGGAAAAGAACAAGAAAGAACTATTAATGCCAATATCAGAAGACAAAAGGTTACCTAATCTCTAAAATGAACTATTATTTACCATGATTCTAAAGATTTAATTATATTCAAAACGATAGGCTTTTAAAGAAGTCACTTAGTTCAAACCCATATTAGTTTGAAACACAGCAATTAGAGCCTGATACAATACCTACGTCTTGCGGAACAAATATAATCCAATTAAGGAGCTAAAATAATTTTGTAAATTATCTTCAGACATAAGATACGAAATAAAATTTATCATGATATCGCGATAAATTTTTACAACCATAAAGTTCACTTGTTTATTCAATGAAAATTATTGGCTTAGTTACCGATGTGGCTGGTTTTAACTAAAATTATCGACCAAATCTCATTAATTACATCCATGTGTTCATCTTATTTTTTTTATGAAAATTTATTTGCTTGTCTCGTTTTTGATTTCTTTGAGTTATTATGTAATCTGATTTTTCATAAATCTATGAGTAAGTTTTGTAATCAATTGGTGAACTTTAAGTTCATATTCTGAAAAATTGTTGAAATAAACACTGTTTCCGCCTAACTTATAAACTTTCTAATGTTTGATTTAAATAGTATCAAAATAAAATAACTATCCGAACATACTTCAAATAATATACACTTATAAACTCGTAAAGCTCACTTTACAAGAATTGTGCAAAATGTAGTCACATAGAAACAGTGTTTCACAAATATCGAAGATAAACTGCCTAGTCTAACTGCCAATACTACATTCAGTTTAATAAGTAACTGGTTTATAAATAAGGAATATATTATGTTCCATTAACTAAACACTTCAGTCTAGTTATAAAATCAAGCTAAGTGTTATTTTTACGATAAAAACTAGTCAACATACAGAATTGATGAGTAATATCCTAGTCAAGTCATAAATTAGAGTTATCCAATAACAATCTTATTTATTAATCACCATTTTAATCTATCTTTTTTAATAAATGTCACTGTTAATATCATTCCTTAGAGTATTTCACCTAAGGAGATAGATGAGCATGTGAATGGATGTATCTGTTTTAGCAAATTTTACTTGTTCAAAATATTTAACTCTTACTTATTTTATACTTTTTTTTCTATTATCTTTATGTGCTGTATGCTCTCTTTATGGATATTAGTTTTTTGTTAAAAAAACAGGTTAACAGTCTTTATCAAAACGTTGCGTGTTATTCTTGTGACTGTAAATTCTGACACTACCATTATTATTACATCTATCGCGTTTAACTTTGAAATCAACTCGACTCATTCAAACACTATACATGTTTGATTAAGAGTCATGTTATCCTTTGGATCCATGAATTAATCAGACTATACAAGTATATGCAAACAGTGAAATACTATTTCTCCTGTTTCCTCATACACACACACAAATGGATACTAACTTCCACAAATAAGAATTACATTTGTCTGTATAGTGAAAATAATTTTTTTTAAATATGACATAGTTTTATATCCCCCATATATATTTGCCTGTTAGTCTGTTTGTTCTAACAATATTAAAGTATTCATATTTTTTTCATTAAAGAGGAATGAAAAATAAACTTAAGTCTATCGCTTCTTACATCTCGGCTTGTGAATGTGTATATGAATAATTTGTATATTAAATAAAAGAAAAAAAATTTATGAATTCCAGTGCTATCGTGTTGTTGTTCTTTTTTTAATAAGTTGAAATGAAATAAGTTGAAACAAAAACAAAACTGAGACAAGAATAGGCGCACATCATATAGCATAATGATGAATTTATCTTGACGATATCAAGAAAATAAGAAAATTCTATCAAAAATGTTTTACTGTAATAATAATTACAATATTATTAATAATAAAATGAACTATATTACTCTCCCTCCCTCCCTCCCTCCCTCCCTCTCTCTCTCTCTCTCTCTCTCTCTATATATATATATATATATATATATATATATATATATATAAGTCAAGACAAAATGCCATCTTCCAAAATAAATTTAATTAATGATATCGTTTGACATGATTATTACTATTATTATTGTTATTTCCCTTTCTGTTCCTTAAAACTACTGAAAATTTACTGATATACATATGAAATATGAAAATATTGGTTGGTGGGATATTTACACACACACACATACACACACACATAGATACACACTACTACCACCACCACACACATATCTATATCAAATAAAATATTCAATAATAAAATTCGTGTTTTACATGAATTAAGATTATCAATAATAATAATCATTGAATAATAATGTGAAAAATAATTTCAGAAATTGAAAATCATGAATGATGAGAAATATTTTGAGGACAAAAATACCACTAACAGAAATACTAGAAGGGAACTGTTAACTTACTCGGATATAAACATTAATATAGTCATGAACTTGAGTTACTGAATAACTAATGAATTCATGCTTAATTATTAGTGGGTATCAAGTTGGATAAGATAAAATTATAAAACATGATGTTATAATTAAGAATTTGTCACTAAGGTGTATCAGTCTATGATTAAAAAATTAATATGTGAATAGTGAAAGGATAACCGAAATAATAAACAATTCCTTATGATTTTCAATAGTTGAGATCATGAGTCAATTGAAGCTAGATCACCATAGGAAACCTGGAAGCACTGGACGGGCGTTTCTTCCTATTATGGGACTCCTCAGAAGTGCGCATCCACGATCTCGCCTCACGAGATCAACAAAACCTTTTCTGGTATTAGTTTCTTATGAAACAAAAGATTTAAATGGTTTTAAATGGTTGTAACGCTTTAGTAATTTTAGTTAAATAAACTATTATTAAGTGTTATATTTGTCAATCTATTATGCTTATTATTTATTTTTGACATTAGTTATAAACGATTGCTTGTTGTTAATAATCGGGTTGAAGTAATTTCGAAATAGTCGTCAAGTGAATCTGTTTTTTTTAAAAAGAACCTCAATAAGTAAATTTTTTCATAGGGTATGAATCGGCTTTATTCAAGTTTTTACATCTAGTCCCTATAGTCAAAAATGTAGTCTATTATTTAATATTTTCATTTACCACTCTTATCATGCCGTATAAAAAACTAATTACTGACAAAATGACTTTTTACTAACTATGCAAAACAAATAAATATTTTAACCACATAGTTACTCATGAATATAATTTTTTGCTAATAAGAAATGTGCTTGAAGTTATCCGTTAGAACCAATTACATTTTGTTGAGTAAAATGTCATGTGGCACTAATAAAGAGTTGCAACGTTTTTCACTGACTATTTAATTCTGCATCAACAAAGCACAAAAGCATAAACAGACTCTAGACCATTGCACTTAAAATTAAACATTAACCAGAAAAACTACCATATAAACTAGTTTAAAATCTGAACCTGAACAAATTATTTTCAATTTTGTTAAGAATACTCATAAGACAAACGAAAAAGAGCATACAAAAAATAGATTTATAAGAATGATAATCCCTATAAGAGAAAATCCAAACCATTTGTCTAATATATATTAAACAGTCCAAATATTCCTTGATGTAATAAATAAGTATGCCAATATTCAGTAATAGATTAATTGAAAGTAAAAGTTTTCACCCTGAAACACACTACGGTTACGTTAAGTAAAGATGTAACGTTTTCTAAAATATTTGATTATTAGATGTCGAACTTATTTTAATCATTTAAAGCCACTTTTGACAGAACGCATGAATATTCACTACCTACATGTGTCCACATTCGTACTTATGTACAGACGTTCTGGCTTCTTATTTGATGCAAATAAATAATTTAAGGCTATTCAGACATGATTCAATCGAGAATATTCTTTCTATAGCGTTTTGTAGTCTCTATATTTTCGATTACTATATTTTGTTGACTATTTCATTAGATATTGTCCATGCAAAAATACGTTTATAGATGGAAGGAATGATTTTTTTTAATTACAAAAAATCGAATTATGATGAGAACATTCATAAAATATATTTACGCTCTGATAATCCTTCAATCCATAGATCATTATCCTAAAAAGAAGAGTTCATCATGTCGGGAAAATAATTGATATTCATCACCTCATGAATGAACTCTTACAGCAATTCACATATGCTACTTTGCGAAACTAAGGTATCGCATTGATATTTTGTAGTGAACAATATCGGCTCTGAGATTCATCATAGAAGTTATAAAGACCGCGTTATATATATATATATATATATATATATATATATATATCAATTTTAAGACTAAACACAACTAAACACAACAGCTCAACCTCATTTCAAATCATATGAATCATAACAGCTAAACACACATGCACCAATAATGGAACAACTTGAGATTATGCTTCATGTGAAGTAATTTGTTTCATATTTATAAAAATTGTTTATTCCTATATCCTTATTTGTTTGGAAGAAAGAAAGAAATGAGAAAACTGTAACAAATAAATGGAATACAGTTCAAAGTAAAACTCATATGAAAACTGTCTGATAAGATGTACACAATTTATCTAAATTCTTATTCTACAAAAAATCCATTTGTCAATCTTATTTTCATGAATTTTCCTTTTTATCATAGTGTTCACTGTTCAAAGATGCACAGTTCTTATGTTGTGAGTTTAAAAACGTTCAATGATTAAATGTAATCAAAGCCCATACATCGTGTAGCACAAAATATTGTCAGATAGATGGGGAAAATATTCAAATAAAAAGATGAAAAACAACCAACTGGTTTCAGTTTTATTGATAAGTAATACAAATTATTTATGTATTGAAGTTACTTAAATCATTATAACAGTATTGTAACAGGTGCCATAGATTATTCACTATATAATGCGTATTATGTGAAATAAACTCATAGACTGATAATTTCAGGCTAAAAAATCTCTAAAATCATTATTGATTAAAACTACATTACAAGAAAACATAATTCTAGATAATCAAAGATGGATAATGGCTAGCAGTGGAATCCAGGACGCGCGTCTCGTCCTCTTT